AAAAGAGAGAGAGAGCGCAACAACTAATAATTTGGAAACATTGCCAGCTCGCTAGATTTTACCTTGGCATTTTTCTTCGTGGTTTTAGGTGAACAATCATGTAGAAACTCTTTTGGACCTCTCAGAGAAAGTGGACATCCCCAAGGAATTATTTTCCTCCTCCTTTTGCAGTCCACTTGCTAGTTCTTATAGCAAAACTCCCAGTGCATGATGTGACAAGGGGTTTGGTTCATCAGTCAGCTGCTTGTCTCAGAGCCTGGCATTGATCTGGGCTGAAGAGGAGGGACTGGTCCAAGGTCACCCAGCTAGCTTCGGTGCCCAGGAAGGATGAGAACCTGGGTCTCCCCACTCCTAGTCCAACTTCTTCACCACTACCCCCTTCCATAATCCCTCTGTGGTTCCCCAAAATGGCTAAAATTGTTTCTACAATTTGGGATGGGAAACACAAAGACATGCTTTTTTCCCCCACTGTGCAAACACCTGCCTTTTGGGTTGTTACCTGTGACAGTGACTATAATTAAGCAGCCTCCAATATTTGGAAAATCCCCCCCCCACATCCCCCCTCAGGAGATACAGATGGCCCCATCTCTGCTGGCATTTTGCAAACGACTGAAAGCCATCTTATTTTAGCATATTTTTGACCTTTAGTTGCTTCTTTGCACATTGTCGTTTTTCAAAGTTTACTGGGTAATTATATTTTATGTTTTATTTCTATTGCTAACCCCCACAGTTCATCAGGACTGTGTGGAATATAAACTTTGGAAATAAATAAAGAATGGAATGTGAACACAACATGACTCACTGCTCAAAGTGATGATCAGCAGGATTTATTTGCAGAAACCAGTTCCCTTCATCAAAAGTGATTGCGTGGCCAACTTTTCCCATGAGCACCAACTTAGTATGATAAATGTCAGGTTGAGCAACTGAAAAATGACCATTTTGTCTTTCTTTGTAGACACAAATATATGTCTAGGGATAAGAGGTCATACATATATATGTAAGAATAACATCACATGGGTTGTTCTTGGTGTTGTTTGCGTAGGGTAATTCGGTCTGTCTAAAACAAGATACTTGATTCCTTTTTTTAAATGATGAGATTCAGAGAAAGAAATATAGTTTGGTTTGCAGCTGTGAGAAAGATTGTGCTGGCCATTATAAACACAGGTAAGATAACACCTTCACAAAGTAACAGATCAGTGACAAAAATCGCAAAGAGGAGAGGATGGTAGATTCAGCCGTTGTTATTCCCCGCCATCACACGATTCTAGTCCCGCAAAATCCTGAAAAGAAAACAGGTAACTCCAGCCGAAAATTTCAAACATCAAACCGATTGGATATTTTATTTGGTGTTTTGGGAACCAGGTAGGGGCACCTGAAACTCCGCCCATGTTGTATGGGCATTGTACCTGTCAGGCACATAAAAAATAGGTGAGCTTCAGTTGCATCTTCGAGGCCACAACTACACTGTCAAGACGGCCATCTTGAGTTTTTGGACCACAGCCTGCAGACACCTCTGGCACCCAAGGAATATATACCTTATTTTTCAGGGCAGAAGGATGCATGTCGGAAAGGAAAAGAAATCCATAGATTTCAATCTGTATCGTTTACCTCTGGGTGGAAGATCTGGAGGTGCTTTTCATGAAGATCATGAAGATGTAGGCCAGCGTTTCTCAACCTCAGCAACTTTTAAGATGGGTGGACTTCAACTC